TCAGACCGACCACAACAACACATAGTTCTCCATTCGTAAAGCACTACGCATATACAGGTGTTTCGGTGACTCAGGGAACAAATGCAACCACATGTACTAGAGTGAAAATGGTGACGATTTTGTCATAACTATTATGCATGAAACATGTCCAATCATTTGATTTAGCTAAATCATATTTTTAATGTGTTTTAAATTAATTAAAATTAAAAATCAACAAAAAAACGACAACACTAACAGGAATAATAATGAAAAGCACATAAAATAACAAGACAAGTAATAAAAATGCTCAAAAACTTAGATTTATTTTTTTTTAGTGCTATTATTGAAATCGGAACCCAACATTTTTGCATTTAACTCGAAAACTGTGATTTTTATCGATATTATCTAGCAGTAATAAAAGTTTCTAAACTAAATTTACTATTAGAAACTGCAAAAATAAATGTAGGATTATGATAGAATAAAAAAGTTCTGAGCAAACAAACTTTAGGAACAGCCTGTATAGCATTGTTCCCGCGGATCGATCCAACTCATAAATTGCCTCACAATTTTAGATCACATTGATTTATACTGTACCAAATTTCAGTGCTTTATTGTAAATAGTGTTTAAGATATTTGGAAAAATGTGTTAAAATTTCCTAAATTTGATGGTCTGTATCTTTGAAATTTGAAGATTTTTACTAATTTTTTTTTATTTGAATCGTCATCATTTTCACTCTAGTATATGTGGTAAAATTTGTTACCCGAGCCACCGAAACATCCTGTATATATACAGGGTGTCACACAAAAAACGCCCCAAGCTGTAACTCTGTCCATTAACTTTAAGAGAATGTTAGGAAACTATTTTAATGTTTTTCTATGCTACAATTACAATTAATGTTGATGTGCTGTACATTAATGGATTCAGAAAAAGAATCTCTATCCAATATCGCGAAGAAAAACATACCAAGCAATTTGAAAATCAAAAGTTGATAATCGTTTGAAATTGAAGATGGCGTTGGAAAAAGTTTATTTTGAATCATAGTATTCATCAAACCTTTTCATTTGATATTTCGCTCATGAAAATCGGAATGTAAATGACAGAGTTACAGCTTGCGGCATTCTTATGTGACAACCTGTATATATAGGTGTCTTTTTTCTGCTAAAATTACATTCAAAATGGATATATTGTACATCAATGGATTCAGAAAAACAATCTCTATCCAATGACGTGGAGAAAAATATACGCAGCAATTTGAAAAACAAAAGTTAATAATTGTTTGAAATTGAAGATGGCGTTGGAAAAAATTTATTTGCAGCATGAATCATAGTATTTATAAAACCATTTTATTTGATACCTGGGTCATGAAAATCGGAATGTAAATAACAGAGTTACAGGTTGGGGCGTTTTTTGTATGACACCCTGTATATATACAGTGTGTCCCCGGATAGGTGAAACGACTCTTATAAAAGGTAAATTTTTTTCGATATTAATTCTCATTTTTTGAGGTTTAGCCCTGCTTGATTAACGACTAATTTTGAACATAATTTCAATTTTTAAAAAACAAGTGAGCCTTGACAGTGAAAGAATCTTTTCTGTTTACAGTACGTGAAAGTGTTAATTAATGCAAATTTTCGGATTGATAACGGCCTACTTTTATAAAATTCAAATCAAACAACTTTATTTCTAACAAAGACTGCCATGGATAAAACAAAATTGCTTTCCTGTCACTGTTAATATGTCAAAATGTGATTTAGTAAATGTAAAGTGTTTTTTAAATACAATGTTAACATTAGAGGAAAAAGTTTACGTGATTCAGTGTTATGGAACCGGGGGAAAACCGATAAATGTGGTTGTTGCTTTATTTAGTGAAAAATTTCCAAATACTCGAATTAAAAGAAGTACTTGTTGGCGTTTAATCACAAGATTTCTTAGAGCAGGAAGTATTCACTCTAACAAAAAAAATATGATGAAACTGATTAACTGTTTTCTTTTGTGGGTGAACACACACTTAATTTTTTGTGAACATTTTAGGAACGGTTTGTTTATTTCTTCCGAATAATCTGAATCTCAAAACAAAAAATTGTAATAAAGGGTTTTATCAAAGTAGACCGATGATTCCGAAAATTTTATATGGCCCTAACTTTTCATTCTGAATAAAATTTCTTAGTAACATTTTACCATACTGTAAAGAGAAAAGGTACTTTAACTGATGCACAAGAAGTTTTCGCTTCAGTGTCAACAGTCACTTGTTTTTTAAAATTAGAAAATACAGGGTGGTTCAGTTTTTAATCGGGAAACTTTACTAGGACTTAGTACTTGCCAAAAAACATAAGTTTTTTATATACACATAGGGTCACAACTCTTTTGTTTCCGAGCTATGAGCTGTCAAAGTTGAGCCAAAAATTTACATTTTATCTTTTATTTCGAGTATGAGTAAACCACAGAATTTGAAATTTTGTATGTATGTACTACTGGTTCATATCTTATTTTCAACCATACCTTAAACTTCCCTAGCGCCCTCTAAGGGGATGAAATTCACAACGTGTTTGATTTTTTTATAACAACTTCTTAACGCCATGGAATATTAACATAAAAAAATATGGGTTGTAAAGCTTATTCATTATTGGTACGTTTTTGTCTCTTTAGTTTTTTCCTTAAAGATAATAGTTTTAGCGTAAAAAAAGAAAATATGCTACATTGGACTGTAAAGCGCTGCTATTATTAAAAAAAATTTTTTCTTTATAGGTAGCTATGGAAGTTGTGCACTTACTAGGATCTAGTACTAACTAAATAACACCAATTAATTGTGATTTTCATAAGAAAAACCATAAATAAGATTAATGCCTGTCTGAACAAATTACGTTGTTTTAAACAATATTAAAAAATTGATGCTCTTGCTTAATAACCGTCAAAAATTATTAATAACCAGAAATAATTATGAGGATTCACTGTAAATAAAACTTACATGTTCTCAGAGCTAACTTTTAGAATAATTTTAGCTAAACATGGCGGCATATAGCGGTACATGGCACGATATTTTATTTTTTTACACGGAAACTATTAACTATAAGGAAAATACTAAAGAGACAAAAAAGTACCACTAAAGAATAAGCTATACAATCCATATTTTTTTATGTTAATATTCCATAGCGTTAAAAAGTTCTTATAAAAAAATCAAGAGAGTGGTGAATTTCATCCCTTTAGAGGGCGCTAGTGAAGTTTAAAGTATGCTTGAAAATAAGGTCTTAACCAGTAGTGAATACGTACAAAGTTTCAAATTCAACGGTTTACGTACAGCCGAAATACAAAACAAAATGTAAATTTTTGGCTCAACTTTGATCGCTCATAGCTCTAAAACAAAAGAGTTGCGACCCTATGTTTATATAAAATACTTGTGTTATTTTGGCAAGTACTACATCCTAGTAAAGTTTCCCGAATAAAAACTGAATCACCCTATATGTTCAAAATTAGTAGTCTTTAACCAAGCAGGGCTGAACCCCAAAAGATGACAATTAATGTCGATAAAATTTTACACTTTATAAGAGTCGTTTCACCTATCCGGGGACACACTGTATATATATTTGTGTTAATTAACTTTGGACAAATATGGGTTTATTTGTTCTGCTTCGGCCGCAAGCGACCTCAGCTTAATTATTTGTGCAAGCTTCGCGGAGAGTGTTTGCAGTTGAAACTTTGCAATATACATTAACCAGTATTGGGTTAATATGGTATTATATCCAGTGCCTCGGCCGCAAGCGACCTCGGCTTAATTATAAGTCGAAAGCTTCGCCGAGTGTGTTTGCAGTTGAAACTTTGCAATATACAATAATGTATTGGGTTAATATGGTATTATATCCAGTGCCTCGGCCGCAAGCGACCTCGGCTTAACTATAAGTTGAAAGCTTCGCCAAGTGTGTTTGCAGTAAAAACTTTGCAATATACATTAATGTATTGGGTTAATATGATATTATATCCAGTGCCTCGGCCGCAAGCGACCTCGGCTTAATTATAAGTCAAAAGCTTCGCTGAAAGTGTTTGTAGTTAAAGCGTTAGAATAAATTACTCAGTATTGGATTGATATGGTATTAATTATTGTGCCTCGGCCTAATTATTAGTCCAAAGCTTCGCCTATTACCAATATTATTTAAAAAAGTTTTTAATAAAATAATAAATATAAAAAAAAATGTCAATAAAAAAAGAATTAACAACGTAGGTGGTGTTTCTTTTTACCGAGAAAATTAACACCTGCTCTAATTTTTCCCTCCTTCCTCAACGGTAATTGTACAATGAACAAAAACCACGCCCCATTTTGTCCCGAACGTTCTGCATTAATTAATATCGCGTTGCTTTGGGCTTTTATATCCTTTCAACACCTGCTAATGAAGGCATTTCCTCAACCGGAAGTGCAGAATAAATAAATAAATAATAATTATATAATAACTTTTTGATTTAAAATTTCAACTTAATTGTTGTTTTCGTGTTTTTTTAAAAAAAAAGAAAGAAAAAACCAAATTCATCATCTTTCAAAAGAATGAAAGATGGTGATTTATAGAGAAAATCATTACAAATATTCAAAATTAATTGCGTGGCTTGGCCGAGAAAGAATGAAATCCCGCGCCGGTTAAAGAAAAGATGAAATAATAAAAAAAGGAAACTATGACACGGGAAAGGTCCTTTTTAAGCTGAAAAGAGACGCAGAGAGGAGAAGAACGAGGGCCGAAAGGAGAACCCGGGAGTATTGTGCCCCATAACTATCATTAATCAACGTTTTTCGTTCTTTCTCTCTCGCTCTTTCGCTTGATTTCTAAACGAACACGTTCGATCTCTTTGCTCCGAAAGGCCTCCTCTGCCCTTGTATTTTAAATACAACGGCCTGTGGGGCTATTAATCAAAAACGTTGGTAACAATGGTCCGGTGTCTGATACTCAACTTCTCTTTCGACTGGCTCGATTCATTAAAATTATGGAAATTATTATTTTTTTGATTAAATTTTTTAATTTTTCCAATTCTCTAATTTCAGTAATGATTATTGGATGGTGCTTTCGATGGCATCGGTTACCACTGGGTTAATCTCGCCCAACGCCTACGGTTTAAGTTCCGGTAAGTTCGAACGAATTTCAAAAAACATTTTGTCGTCGTCATCTTTTTGTTACGACATCGTTTTGGCGATCTTTAACAAAAAACTTGAGCCGGTGTGGTAGATGTCGACCGAGTTCTAAGAACTTGGAATACCTAATTGCTCGCGCGGTCTTCCTCTCTCTACCTCGATGAAGCTTTTTTTCTTGTAAAGTGACGATTGGGACCCAACTTTTAATTTTAACTAAAGCATTCTCGTTCAAAATTCGAACGAAATTCGTCGACAAAAACGTTGCGAATCCCACCGTTATTCAAGTTATTCAAGTTCAGAGAGACAACAATGGTTTTTGAAAAAAGAATTTTTTTTTATCGTTTTGGCATTGTTTTATTTAATAATTCTTGTTATTATAGCTTGATCACTGTTAATTATTGCTTCTACAAGAGGAGAGGAAGGAAGGATTTTTTTTCCCACGAGATTTAAAAAAAATTTACCCCTTCTGTGTGAATACAAAAAAATCGCATTAAATCAAAAAAGATTTTGGGAGAAAAAGGCGGTGGTTACCTGAGATTCTTTATTTCCGCCTTAATTTAGCTAAAGATATCTTTTTACCTGCCGATTGTATTTTTTTACCCCCTTAGTTCATTCTCATCATCATCCCCTATTTATAAATAAAAATAAGAATCTAACACCAAATCTAAGATTTTTTTTTTTTTAGCTTCAATTTGAGATATAAATCATCTCTTTACCTCAATGAATAAGATAAAAGCGATTTTTTCAAATTTTTTATTTTTTTGCCAATTTTATGTTTTTATTTAAAACCATTTTTCTCGATTTTTTTATAATACAACCACTATATCTTAACATCCCATCATAAAATAGACCCTTTTAGCTTGAATTTGAGATATAAACCATTTCTTTATCTCAATATATAAGATAGAAGCAACTTTTTAAATTTTTTATTTTTTGGTCAATTTTCTGTTTTCCTCTAAAACCATTTTTCTCGAAATTTTTATAATAAAACCACTATATCTTAACATCCCATCATAAAATAGACCCTTTTCGCTTGAATTTGAGATATAAATCACTTCTTTATCTCAATAAATAAGATAATAGCGATTTTTTTTAATTTTTAATTTTTTTGCCAAATTTATGTTTTTCTTTACCAAAATTCCTCAAAATTTTCATAATAAAATCCCTATATTGCAACATTCTATCATAAAATAGACCCTTTTAGCTTCAATTTGAGATATAAATCACTTCTTTATCTCAATAAATAAGGCAGTAGAGATTTTTTAAAATCTTTAATTTTTTGGCCAAATTATATGTTTTTCTTCAGCACCATTTTCCTCAAAATTTTCATAATAAAATCCCTATATTTCAACATTCTATCATAAAATAGATCCTTTTAGCTTCAATTTGAGATATAAACCATTTATTTATCTCAATAAATAAGGCAATAGCAAGGACAGTAGAATCTAACAGGACTGCTACATGCATTGTATTTTTGTAGCCCACTACGGGTTGGTTGCTCGCACTCTACGTCACACTATTTGCCACGCCCTGTTAACTGTCATTCAGTACTATGCGTTTGCTGTGTTTTTAGAGATTTGGAGGTTACATGATAGACATTAATACGTCTAAAAAAATAAAACTTCAAAAATAATATGAATACGTCTACGATATAACCTCTAAAACCACAGCAAACGGATAGAGCTGGGCGTGGCAAATGGTATGACGTAGTTTGCGGGCAGGTTGTCACAACAATGGATGTAGCAGTCCTGTTAGATTCTACTGTCCTTGAGGCAATAGCGATTTTTTAAAATTTTCAATTTTTTGGCCAAATTTATGTTTTTCTCCAAAATCATTTTCCTGGAAATTTTCATAACAAAACCACTATATATTAACATCCCATCATAAAATAGACCTTTTTAGCTTCAATTTGAGATATAAATCATTTCTTTATATCAATAAACAAGCTAGAACTGACGATTTTTTTAAATTATTAATTTTTTGGTCAATTCTATGTTTTTCTTGAAAACTATTTTCCTCAAAATTTTCATAATAAAATCCCCATATTTCAACATCCCATCATAAAATAGATCTTTTTAGCTTTAATTTGAGATATAAACCATTTATTTATCTCAATAAATAAGATAGACGCAATTTTTTAAATTTTCAATTTTTTGACGAATTTCATGTGTTTCTTTAAAACCAATTTCCTCGAAATTTTCATAACAAAACTTCTACATCTCAACATCCCATCATAAGATAGACCCTTTTAGCTTCAATTTGAGATATAAATCATTTCTTTATCTCAATAAATAAGATATAATGGCGATTTTTAAAATTTTTTTATTTTTGGCCAATTCTATGTTTTTCTTGAAAACCATTTTCCTCAACATTTTCGTAATAAAATCCCTATATTTCAACATCCTATCATAAAATAGACCCTTTTAGCTTTAATTTGAGATATAAACTATTTATTTATCTCAATAAATAAGATAGACGCAATTTTTTAAATTTTCAATTTTTTGGCGAATTTCATGTTTTTCTTTAAAACCAATTTCCTCGAAATTTTCATAATAAAACCTCTACATCTCAACATCCCATCATAAAATAGACCCTTTTAGCTTCAATTTGAGATATAAATCATTTCTTTATCTCAATAAATAAGATATAATCGGCGATTTTTTAAATTCTTTTAATTTTTGGCCAATTCTATGTTTTTCTTGAAAACCATTTTCCTCAACATTTTCGTAATAAAATCCCTATATTTCAACATCCTATCATAAAATAGACCCTTTTAGCTTTAATTTGAGATATAAACTATTTATTTATCTCAATAAATAAGATAGACGCAATTTTTTAAATTTTCAATTTTTTGGCGAATTTCATGTTTTTCTTTAAAACCAATTTCCTCGAAATTTTCATAATAAAACCTCTACATCTCAACATCCCATCATAAAATAGACCCTTTTAGCTTCAATTTGAGATATAAATCATTTCTTTATCTCAATAAATAAGATATAATCGGCGATTTTTTAAATTCTTTTAATTTTTGGCCAATTCTATGTTTTTCTTGAAAACCATTTTCCTCAAAATTTTCATAATAAAATCCCTATATTACAACATCCCATCATAAAATAGACCCTTTTAGCTTCAATTTGAGATATACATCATTTATTTATCTCAATAAACAAGATAAACGCAATTTATAAAATTTTCAATTTTTTTGCGAATTTCATGTTTTTCTTTAAAACCATTTTCCTCAAAATTTTCATAACCAAACCTCTATATCTCAACATCCCATCATAAAATAGACCCTCTTAGCTTCAATTTGAAATATAAATCACTTCTTTATCTCAATAAATAAGATAGTAGCAATTTTTTAAATTTTCAATTTTTTGGCGAATATTATGTTTTTCTTAAAAACCATTTTCCTCGAAATTTTCATAATAAAACCCCCACATCCCATCATCTTATCACAAAATACACCCTCTTAGCATCAATTTGAGATATAAATCATTTCTTTATCTCAAGAAATAAGATTTTTTAAATTTTCAATTTTTTGGCGAATTTTATGTTTTTCTTAAAAACCATTTTCCTCGAAATTTTCATAACCAAACCCATACATCTCAACATTTCATCATAAAATAGACCCTTTCAGCTTCCATTTGAGATATAAATCACCTCTTTATCTCAATAAATAAGATAAAACCGATTTTTTAAATTTTCAATTTTTTGGCGAATTTTATATGTTTTTCTTAAAAACCATTTTCCTCGAAATTTTCATAATAAAACCCCTACATCCCATCATCTTATCACAAAATACACCCTTTTAGCATCAATTTGAGATATAAATCATTTCTTTATCTCAATAAATAAGATAAAACCGATTTTTTAAAATTTTCAATTTTTTGGCGAATTTTATGTTTTTCTTAAAAACCATTTTTCTCGAAATTTTTATAATAAAACACCTACAACCCAACATCCCATCATAAAATAGACCCTTTTAGCTTCAATTTGAGATATAAATCATTTCTTTATCTCAACAACTAAATTAAGAACGATTTTTTTTAATTTTGATAAAAAAAAATTTTTTCTATCTGTCAATTTTTTTCTCAGCCCTAAAAAGAAATTTGCACAAACCCTTCATCCCATCGGGCAAAAAACACAATCTCGCGGTTACCTGAGCCTCTTTATTCCTCCGTTAATTTAAAGATATACTTTTACCTGGCGAAACATTCAAAAATCCCCTAAAAAAACGTTCACATCATCATCCCCACTCCCTCCCGTTTTTATTTACACATTTTTAACCCCTTTCTTAAACGCGAATCAACCCCCAGCGTTTTAAAATTCAGTCCACTCGCAGCTTTACCACCGGAAACTTAAAGCTTTAAAAATCGTTTATTTATTTATTATTTTTTTTGTTTTTAGTAATTTGTGATTTTTAAAATTTTAATTTTCTAGATAAAGTGTCTAAAATGGCTGTGCCTATCCAAGAAACATCGGATTACTTCCGTTCCGTGCCGGTTTTCGCGCAACAACGTGCAACATCGAGCGATTCCGAACCGGAAACCGGATCCTACCATCATCATCAATCACCCTCGAAATCAATGATAAACGGTGAACTCCCGAAACGAAACAAACGCAAAAACTTCAAACCGAGATGTTCAAACGTAAGCAGCTATTCGGACAACGAAAACGACTCAGTTTTAAACCTATCGGATTCCTTAACCAACAACAACAACAACAACAAAAATTCACCGTCGAGTATAAATAGAAGAAGAAAAACGTTAAGTACGAGAAGGGTCGTTTTAGACCCGCGGTTTTCGCCGATGGATTTAAGTAAGAACGTTCTTGAATTAAGCGATTCCGGTTCGGATGATTCCGAGTTCGTCGAGAACTACGAGGACGATGAGAACGATGATTTAGAGAACGCTAGCTCGGAGAATGATAGTAAACTATCGAATTTTTCGATTCAGAATTTATCGAAACCGCACGTCAGTGATTTTGCCTCGGCGACTTCCGGTTTAAGTCACGGCCAATTAAACGAAATGAGAGATTACGCTATGAATACGATGAGGGAGTTGCTTAGTATATATGGGTTAACTTCGGAAGTTGCTGAGTCGATTTCAAGACAACTTCCCATGGCTGCTTTTAATTCTGGTAAGTAAATATATTATTATTATTAATAAAGAACCTCAATCCTACTCAATCTCATCAACTTTTGGAACAAAAGATGTAGCAAATTTTATTGTTAACAATATTGCTCTCTTGCATTTTTGCCCTCAGAGATATAGATATCGAGAAAAATGCAAAAATATGAAAATTCGATGAATTTGTTGTTTTTTCAACTTAATGGTGACACTGAGGAATCTGAGTATGTTACAAAAAAACTTTTAGTACAAAACTTGTAGCAAATTTTATTCTGAACAATATTGCTCTCTTGCATTTTTACTCTCGGAGATATAGATATCAAGAAAAATGCAAAAATATGAAAATTTGTTGCTTTGTCAACTTAATGGTGACACTGAGGAATCTGAGTATGTTACAAAAAAACTTTTAGAACAAAAGTTGTAGCTAATTTTATTCTGAACAATATTGCTCTCTTGCACTTTTGCTCTCAGAGATATAGATATCAAGAAAAATGCAAAAATATGAAAATTTGATGAATTTGTTGTTTTTTCAACTTAATGGTGACACTGAGGAATCTGAGTATGTTACAAAAAAACTTTTAGAACAAAACTTGTAGCAAATTTTATTCTGAACAATATTGCTCTGTTGCACTTTTGCTCTCAGAGATATAGATATCAAGAAAAATGCAAAAATATGAAAATTTGACGAATTTGTTGTCTTTTCAACTTAATGGTGACACTGAGGAATCTGAGTATGTTACAAAAAAACTTTTAGAACAAAACTTGTGGCAAATTTCATTCTGAACAATATTGCTCTCTTACACTTTTGCTCTCTAAGATATAGATATCAAGAAAAATGCAAAAATATGAAAATTTGATGAATTTGTTGTTTTTTCAACTTAATGGTGACACTGGGGAATCTGAGTATGTTATAAAAAAACTGTTACAACAAAACTTGTAGCAAATCTCATTCTGAGTAATATTGCTCTCTTACACTTTTGCTCTCAGAGATATAGATTCCAAGAAAAATGCAAAAATATGAAAATTTAATGAATTTGTTATTTTTCAACTTAATGGTGACAATGAGGAATCTGAGTATGTTACAAAAAAACTTTTAGAACAAAACTTGTAGCAAATTTTATTCTGAACAATATTGCTCTCTTGCATTTTTACTCTCGGAGATATAGATATCAAGAAAAATGTAAAAATATGAAAATTTGATGAATTTGTTGTTTTTTCAACTTAATGGTGACACTGAGGAATCTGAGATTGTTACAAAAAAACTTTTAGAACAAAACTTGTAGCAAATTTTATTCTGAACAATATTGCTGTCTTGCACTTTTGCTCTCAGAGATATAGGTATCAAGAAAAATGCAAAAATATGAAAATTTGATGAATTTGTTGTTTTTTCAACTTAATGGTGACACTGAGGAATCTGAGTATGTTACAAAAAAACTTTTAGAACAAAACTTGTAGCAAATTTTATTCTGAACAATATTGCTCTCTTGCACTTTTGCTCTCGGAGATATAGATATCAAGAAAAATGCAAAAATATGAAAATTTGATGAATTTGATGTTTTTCAAGTTGATGAAGACACTGAGGAATCTGAGTATGTTACAAAAAAACTTTTAGAACAAAAGATGTAGCAAATTTCATTCTTAGCAATATTCCTCTCTTGCATTTTTGCTCTCAGCTGCGTAGATATTAAGAAAAATGCAATAATATGAAAATATGAGGAATTTTCTTGTTTTTTCAACTTAATGGTGACACTGAGGAATCTGAGTATGCTACAAAAAAACCTTTAGAACAAAACTTGTAGCAAATTTTATTCTGAACAATATTGCTCTCTTGCACTTTTGCCCTCAGAGATATAGATATCAAGAAAAATGCAAAAATATGAAAATTTGATGAATTTGTTGTTTCTTCAACTTAATGGTGACACTGGGGAATCTGAGTATGTTACAAAAAAACGTTTGGAATAAAACTTGTAGCAAATTTCATTCTGAACAATATTGATCTCTTGCACTTTTGCTCTCAGAGGTATACATATCAAGAAAAATGCAAAAATATGAAAATTTGATGAATTTGTTGTTTTTTCAGCTTAATGGTAACAATGAGGAATCTGAGTATGTTACAAATAAACTTTTGGAACAAAAAATGTAGCAAATCTTATTGTTAACAATATTGCTCTCTTGCATTTTTGCTCTCAGAGATATAGATATCGAGAAAAATGCAAAAATATGAAAATTCGATGAATTTGTTGTTTTTTCAACTTGATGGTGACATTGGAGAATCTGAGCATGTTACAAAAAAACTTTTGAAACAAAACTTGTAGCAAATTTTATTCTGAACAATATTGCTCTCTTGCATTTTTACTCTCAGAGATATAGATACCAAGAAAAATGCAAAAATATGAAAATTCGATAAATTTGTTTTTTTTCAACTTAATGGTGACACTGAGGAATCTGAGAATGTTACAAAAAAACTTTTATAACAAAAGTTGTAGCTAATTTTATTCTTAATAATATTGGTATCTTGCACTTTGGCTCTCAGATGCATTGATATCGAAAAAATCTTCGATTATTTACGGCTGAGACATTGCATCACTTATTATTTTTATATTATCATTCCATTGCACTTCATGATTCCTTTTCTATATAGATGATGTGATAAGCTACATAATCTTGAATAGCCGAGAATCAAACAAGTTGAAGAAATAAAGTTGGTATAAAGTTTTTTCTGTTAATAAATGATTCTACTAAGAATTACAAAATAAATAAAAAAAATCTATCGATGATGTTGAGACCCGGACCTGAGAATCAATCCTTAGTAATAGTCATTTATATCGTCTCGAGCTCCACAAAAGATGATTGGCATCTACATACATATACTTAATTGTTACAAGAACGTCGACCCTCGGCGAACACAATGACGTACCATTGATATGCAGGTTCGTTTCAAAAACTATCCTTCTCCTCATCCCATTCTAAACTTCTCTTCCTTCTCCTCCTATTCCGTTTCGTCTCCCTCCACTTCATCATCATTCTTCACTTCGTCTTCTTCTACTTCTACTTCCAGACATCTCCCAGATGTACTTGTAACAAGACTTTTTTCTATTTTAACCACTCTCTTGAATCTTGAATATTATTAATATCCTCCCTTTGTTTGCCGTGGCGATTGTCCTGTCAAAATCTTTATCTATCCGGCTTTAATAAAAAATCGACTTTAAAAAATTTTCGTTGCTTATTCGATAATAAAGAGAAAACGATTTGCATAGTTTTCTTTTGTGTGTCGCGTGACGCACAACAACGGCTTTATCCGTTTACTAAACGGTAATGTTACTGAAACTGGTTCTTTCAGTTTGAATTAAAAAGTTCGAATGTGGAACAGATAGATAGAGAAACAACGCGATTGGCAAATTCGAAATTCCAAAACACGTTTTCTACAAGATTCAGATTTTTATTTCAAAAATGATTAGAAATAATTACGACCTCGTTAAAACCTTGATTGAAATTTTTTTACTTTAAATTTGAATTTAAATTTAAACCAGGAACTTGAGTGAGTTTTTTTTTTATTTTAGAAAATCTGAATTATTAATTTACGAAACTCGAATTGAATAGATTAATTTTTTAAGGTCACTTGTTCCTAAACTCTCAATTTTTTGTGCGAGTAACATTTCGTTTCAAAACTCGTTTTGTTCTAAAATAAAAATCTAAATATCTTTAAATGTTGTAATGAATTTAAAGCGATCTTTTTCAAGTTGAACATCAGTTGGTTAACAGATGGACGGATTAATTTCAATTTTCCCAGAAGAAGAGGAGCGACGGAACTCTCCTCTCCGTTCATTCGTTGAAGATATTTAAAATTCTCGAAGAAGCGAGAACGACTAAAAAAAATATATATAAACTTAACAGAAGTTACTTTGAGTGTATCTCGAGGGGTTTCGAAACCGAGATTATTTAAAATCATTTTCAAGAAGCGTGGGATTAATATTAAAAGAAATAAAAAAAAAATATTACCGCATATTACCTCGAATTACCACAAATAGAGAGGTAAAAAAAATATTTCCTAAAAACAGGTAGGAACACCCTTTAAACGTTTTTTTTTTCGATGGCACTTTACTGTGTGAAATTCTCGATTTTCTACCCTTATTTTCGGGTGACAAAAGGAATCCCGCCGTCTGTAAAACGATATCGGGATTAAGTAAAGAATTTGGGGTAACCCCTTAAAATAAAAAAATAGAACCCTATCCCCTTTCTTGATAAATACCCCAAGGATGGGGTTTTTACTTTCTAGGAACACACCGGAAAGCGTGCGAATTTTTTTGGGTAATACTAAGTCTTTAATGGTAAATTGAGCAATTTTTCTGCGAGATCTACCCCCTTTTCTATTTTATTTTTTATCTTTTCCGGGGTAACCACTCGATTCCTTTCCCTTTTTTTTATGATTTTGTAAAGAAAGGGATGATCCTGATCAGGTCATCATACGAAGATTTAAAGACCCAAAATATTTTTTTTTTGCAGATGGTTAAAAAGGGAATGAGAAGTGAAACGTGAGATAAACATTTTTTTTTGTATTAATAAATACTTAATTGATATAATTGATGTGATTTTGATAAACGATTTGACAAAAATTACTAGATGAATTATGGGATTAATGTGTTAAGATGATTTGTTGTGAAATTGTGTTACTTTGAGGATAAGTTGCTTTTAGGTTGGGTTGTCTTTGAGTTTGGATGCTTTCAGGTTGAGGTTCATTTGGGGTAAGTTCTTTCGAGGTTGGTTAACCTTTTGCTTGTGCATTCTGAATGCTTTCTTTTTGAGGAGTATTCGGGTTGTGTTGTTTCCGAGTTTAGTTACTCTCAGGTTGGGTCGTTTTCGGGTTAAGTAAGGTTCTGGTTTAGTTGCGGTCGAGGTTAGCTGCTTTCGGGATTGGCTATTGAGACTATGATGCTTTCAGGTTGAAGTGCATCTCAGATAACATGCTCAGATTCCTCAGTGTCAGCTTCATCAAATTATCATATTTTTGCA